GCGCCGCCGGATAGAGCTTGCTGTACAGTGGCTTCTGCAGAATGGCCGCAGGAAAGCCTGAACAAGAGAAAAATGTGGTGGTTAGAATTTAAACGATACTGCTAATAAAAACACTGTCCCTTACTGATGGAGTTCCTGAAGCGGTGGTAGTTGGCATTGACCACCGTGGGGGCGACATTCCACTTGGTACGGTCGTCCACCGAGTAGAGCTTCCCCTGCGACTTGGCGGTGGAGTTCCGGAGGAAGCCAATTACATTCTCAAAGTAGGTGCGGTTGTCAAAGTCCAACTGATAGGATGAAATGGGAAAAGTGTGTTGGTGAGAAACAATCAAGACTTCAATGTTCCCACCACACCACTTACATGTTCGTACTCCTTATCGAGCTGCACCGGGTCGAGAATGTACTCGGGGAAGCCCATGTACACCTCCATGTTTCTCGCCTTTCGCTTCGCGTCCTCCCTCGTCTCCGCGTCCATCCAGTCGCACTCGTCGACGATGGTCATGAACTCATCGCGGATGCTCTCGATCATCTGCACTGCCTGCCAGACAAAGAAAAAGATGTGTGAAATAAAAGATTTCATAAAAACCACCAAAACTTACCTTGTGCTTACTCTCCAGGTCAAAGTACTTGCGCACGTAGAGGGCACTGACGGCGGTGCCCAGGTTGCCGTTGGCAAAGTCGACGCACTTCTTCCAGCGGGCGGGCACCGATTTGGTGCCGTACTGGTCGCGGTAGTAGTCCTCGAGGACGTTCTCGAAGCGCAGATCGAGGTTCTTGATGCGGTTCATCACGAAACGCCAGAGGAGGTAGTTCTTGATGGTGCTAAAGTGGTGAGGGGAAAAATGAGATTATCATATTTCGGGGACTTTTAGTAAGCACTTACGTCTCCGAAGTGACAGTGACAATCTCCTGCACGTCGAGAAAGTAGTCAAAGCCAAAGATGCCAATGGCCTCCGTCTCATTGAGCGGCAGCGGAATGGCCCGCTCAAAGTAGCCCGTCCAGTTGATCTTCGGCACCAGCTTCGACAGGCGATTCAGTGGCATTCGCTGGAAGCTGGCGCCGCCAAACTTTTCGTACATTCGCGAGATGTTCGCCAGCTTCACCTCCAGCTCGAGGAGGTCGTCCACTTCGGCGGAGAGGTTGCTGCGGTTGTTTGCGCCCAGTAGCTGGGCGACGTTGAGGATCAGCTTCCGGTAGGAGCGGTAGTACTTGCTCGTCTTGTTGCTGTAAAAGTCGGCGCTGGACATGCCCAGACCGGCGGGATAAATCTAAAGAGGAAAAAGAAAATGAAACTTTAGTATTCTCCTTCATTTTAGCGTTGTCAAAGATTTCTTGATTCCAAGTGTTTTAAAAGTGGCGCAATTTAGCAATAGTTGAACAATAGCACTGGCACTCACCTTAATCGCGTACAGTGTGCTGTTGACGTCGGAGGGGCCGACGTTGTGGCCGATGATGATTTCGTTGTTGTACTCTCGCAACTTGCCCATTACTGTCACCTGTGTTAGTAATGTGTGTGTGTGTGGTAATGGAGGTAAAGTGTGTTAAATGTGTGATTGAAGTTGTAAGTGCATCGATTAATGACCCTGCTTCTTAAGTGAATGATTTGATAACAACTGACAAAGGATTGACACACTCAAACACACTTAAACAGCCATTCTAACCGGCCGGTGGTGACAGAAGTGGAATGGAGTGTGCGGTGCCCTTCAGAATGTGTCAACTGTCTGTTCTGCTCCAAACTCGTTTCACTCTCTCCTTTGCTGGCCTTCCGTTGTCACCTTTCATCTGGGCGATTATATTAAGCTACTGCTGCTGCCGTTGCGTCCTGCTTGAAACTGTCTGAGTTTCGGCAATGAAAACTAGACACTGTCTGTGTCTGAGTGTCGATCAGCGTGACGGCTCGATTGCACAACAGTGTGTTACAAGAGAAGTGCACACAAGTGCGTCGCCACAACAACTTCGAACAGTCTTCACTGTCTTCAGCTGAGGCGGTCACATGTCGTCGACGGCAGGTCAGACGATAGTTTGTTGGGGCTGAAGCTGTTGAAGCTGCTGCTGCCGCTAACGCGTGACTCGGATAACCAAAAGACTGTTCAGCAGCAGTTTTCAGTCAGTCAGTCAGTTAGTCAGGTCAATATCATTGCCAAATCGATCATTAGCTGTACGAGCATCGAGTACATGAGTGCTGAAAAAAAGTTTTTTTTCAATCAGCGCCCGGCGAGGAGCATTCTCCTCTGAATCTCAATTTTCAGAGCGGCAAATTGTTCTAATGATCAAAGTGTGTGCGCTTGGATGCAGGGGCAGTCATCGAGCACTGATAAAATGGGCTGGCACGCAGGCAAATTAGCATCTTCAAGATGCCAATGACCACAGACACAGACAGACACTGACCTTAGTGTTAGAGAAGAGAGAGATGGCAAATTATGCGACACAATTGGCCGTTTCGATTGACCACCACCACCACCATCACTTAATCTGACTGACAGGACGGAGTAGTTGTAGAGAGATAGAGAGAGAAAGAGAACTAACGGTCTGTTTGCTGTCAGTGAAAAAGTTATCGAGTGATGGTGGTGGTGGTGGTGGACAGTGGACATAAGCAAGCATACAGAGGTCGAGTCTTCTGTAAGGGCATCATCAGGCACTGTTACTACTCTAAGAACTTAACTAAATGTTTGTGACTGTCAAACACACTGACACATCTCACATCTCACTCGCTCGCTCACTCGCTCAGTCACTCACCCAGTCCATCGCCGACCATTTGTCGTTCTGCCGTCCAATCAGTGCCCATCCGCCAAAGTCGCGATCTAACAGCTTCATTAGGGGAAGAGATGAAAGATAGAGAGTTGATGAGTTGACCGTTGAACTGGACAATGAAATGGACAACAGTGACAACAGTATGTCCACAGTCAACTAACCTCGAGCAGCGGCGTCTCGGTGCGGTTCTCAATCGTCCGCACGTCGACGCAGGATTCGTAGAAGTNCTCGCTCAGTCACTCACCCAGTCCATCGCCGACCATTTGTCGTTCTGCCGTCCAATCAGTGCCCATCCGCCAAAGTCGCGATCTAACAGCTTCATTAGGGGAAGAGATGAAAGATAGAGAGTTGATGAGTTGACCGTTGAACTGGACAATGAAATGGACAACAGTGACAACAGTATGTCCACAGTCAACTAACCTCGAGCAGCGGCGTCTCGGTGCGGTTCTCAATCGTCCGCACGTCGACGCAGGATTCGTAGAAGTGCTTCACCTTTCGCACGGCGGCACTCTCATCGGGGGCGATCGGTTCCTCAAGCAGCACTAAAAGGGGGAAAGAGAAAAGTTGAAAGAGTTGAACGTGAAAATGACAATGCCGGCGTCGTAGTGGTTTAAATTTTTTAAAGTAAACGAAGAGCAGCCGCCATCAATCAATCAATCATACGGGCAGTAGTAGCAGTACGTACATTTCAGCTTCTCCGACATTTGATTGCGAATGACAGAGTAAGTGTCGGCGCGGGAATCATCTTCCTGAATGGCGTTCAGGCGCATCCACCCGCCACAGGCGTACTGTGTGTTTGCAAGGAAGAGGAAATGTATGAGAAAGGGATGAGCAATGGTGGTGGTGGTGATGATGGTATCGAACCATCGGCTACTTGATCGTAGTGGTCACGATCAGTGCAAATTAGTGTGTGTTCACAATAAAAAGATTCCCTTTTCCTTTTCCTTCCTCCTTGAAAATGCTTGCTCCTACCTGGTAAAAGTCAGTGCACGGATCGACGGCAGTGTCCATGCTGGTGAGCATGTCCGAGGCGGCGGTGATGCAATCCACGCTAAGGCACAGGTTGGAGTCATTCTTGTCTGTTGGAGTTGGTGGTGGTGGTGGTGGTGATGATAATGTCAATGTTGAGAAGATAAAGTCGTTTAAAAAAAGTGTCACAAAACAACAATCCCAAAACCTACCTCTAGTGTTGAGAACTAGGAGACCGGTGAGAATGGAAAGGAGAATGAGAACCAGAGAAAGGAGCAGCAGCGTCCAAGCCCACAGGTGACTCTCGATGAAGTGAAAGTTCTGCGCCCAGGAGTAGTTGGATCTAGGTGGAGTATTGGAGGATTGGAGGTAGAAGAAGGTGAAGAAGAAGGAGAAGGTTAGAGGTCATTTCGAAATTGAGCGCCTGCTCGCTGTGACTAGAGCGGATCAGCTGATCAATGTTTACTTCGCCTTTGGCCGCAGGTCGGCGCTGGAGAAGCTGCCCTTGCCGACGGAGGAGGAGGAGGAGGCGGTGGAGCCGCCGGACTCGGTGTCCGTCGAGGTGGTGCTGATGTGGGTCATCTTCAGGAGGAATGGAATGGAATCGAATAGAAAATAGAACACAGAAGAGATCTACAGCAACGAAGAAGGAGTAGAAGTGCGGCAAATAGAAACTGATGATGATGAAGAAGGTGGTGCTGCTGGTCCTACTTCTGCCTCTTCTTCTTCCGACACCGTTCAAAGGGACGGAGCACTTCACTACACCTCTACCTTCGTTACCACTAACTACTGCGATGACACATTATCTGATGGGGACATGATGCGAAGAAGAAGAAAATGGTAGAAAGAGAAGAGACAGACACAGTCTGAGAAGTGCAGATCAGACGACGAGATGAAAAAGTGTGGAAAGTAGAAAAAGTGGAAAAAGCGGCGGCAGATCTGTCCAGTGACCAGGTAGTGTGCGACTTGCTCAGCACACACACACACACAGGCCAAAGACTTCGGAGTTGAGTTGAAGCTGAAAAGTGGAAAGCACAAACGAAACACGCGCTCGCCTGCGATTTGCCAACGATATTTCACAGTCGCCGTTCGAACACAGGAAAGAGAAAAAAAGGAGAGAGAAGTTTGCCTCGATGTTTGTGTACGACAGACAAGGTAAGAGCAGAAGAGAAAGTGTGAAAGTGAGAGAAAGGCTTTCGAGTGAGTGAGTTAGCGTTAGAAGTCAGTCAGTGGATTAGAAGAGAGAAAGAGAAGGCAAAAAGTTGTGTGTTTGGAAAGTGAAAGTGAGCTGTGGAGCACTCCTCGGAGAGTAACGAGTCCACACACTGATGTTCGATGCATATATGATGTCCAGGACTTCGATGCGGCACTACTCCACTACATTGACTCGATCGAAGGGAACAGACAGGCACAGCACTGCCATTTAGGTCATCGCCACTGTTTTTGTCTTTTGTCATCGAGCTGCTTGCTTAGCTCCTTCGCTTGCCTTGCCTTGACTTGCGCGGCAAAGTTGAAGAAGAAGATGAAACAGCGAAAAAATTGTGAGCACAAACTGATCGAGCTGTTGACAACTGTCCACGGCTGATGATGATGGTGATCTGAACGCTCGACCACGGCTGAGACTGCTTGGTCAGCAAATGCTGATAAGTTGGCAGCAGTGTTTGCCTGCTTCGTTCTTCTTGCCAGCGAGATTGTCGTACATTCTCTCTAATCACATTTTCGATGTTGTGGTGTTACTGGCACCCTCCAGCGCAAACATCACAACACTGCTACTGCTGCTGCTGCTAATGCTTCGTCCTTTTATTAGAACCATCAAAGCTTGTGCTTGTTTTCTTGCCTGACTCTTCTTAATTAATTGAGACTGACAGAGGAGTGTGCATGTCCAGGATGGTATACGGCAATAAAAACTGGTCAGCGCTGTGTTTACTGGATATAATTTGNTCTTCTTAATTAATTGAGACTGACAGAGGAGTGTGCATGTCCAGGATGGTATACGGCAATAAAAACTGGTCAGCACTGTGTTCAGCAGTGTTTACTGGATATAATTTTGCCAATTAATTGAGCACATCAGATGCTATGCTGAAAGCTGCCTGTGTGTGCCATATCAATCCTCGGATCTGTCTGGCTATCATTGCACCAAAGCAGCAGCAGCAGCAGCAGCATTGTCTTTTTCAGCAGAATCGATGACAGCGAGCAAATTATGAAATTGTCGTATATTATGAGCAAACAGACAACAGTGGACAGCAGTTGATAAGACAACGGCACAGCAGTTAACATAGGAGAGAGGAAAGACAAAAACAAAGGAAAGGGATACTTGCCAGTTAATTGCCTTCAATTGAGCTTAGTTGGCACTGAAGCACTGAAGCACTGAAGCACTGAAGCACGTGCAATTGCCATTGCTTTTGCTGCTATTGTCAGTGGTGGTCATATCTTTTGCCACCACTCATTGTGCAGCTCATCCAGCAGCAGCACTGGCCACAAAAAGCGACGAAGTGCCACACTGCGGACAGGAAGTGCTGCTGCTGAAAGCTGTAAGGAAGCGACCGTAAGTGCATCACCACCACCAACTCCGACTTTAGCCTCTGACACTGACTGAAAAGAGAGAGAATGACTTTAGCAAAAAGTGCTCGAGTGAAGATCATAAAAACGGCAACACTTCAGACAGCTACTTTAGTTAGCTTTTTAATGCTCTTTGCTGTCTGCACGAGACAACAGGCACCTGACTGACTGACTGGCTGAATTGTTATTTTGTCTGACAGACAACAGC